TATATATATATATATATATATATATATATATATAACAAAACTTTATAGTATTAATTTTTACATTTAGTTTGAGGTATTCTTATTTGTTTTATATTTTACATTTAGAAAAATAATGTGTAAGAAGAGAATAGAGATGACATGAAGTTTATAATATTTTAACTAATTAAAAAAATAATAAAGTAAAATAAATTCAAATTATTATTGATAAAGATGGCTATAAAGAGAATATTTTTTTTAAAAAAAACATGAAAATGTTGAATTGATTTGAAAAAGGCTAATCATTAATTTGCGAGATTATTTCGAACTCAAAAAAGAAATAATATAGTTATAATTGCAATATCTTACGAATATATGATTTCTACAATTTGTAATCAACATATGTGCAATGATTGAGTTTTTTAGATTGAAGTAATATTAGAATTGAAATATACTATTTTTTTTGTTGCTAATTTTAGTGAATGAATAGAATATTTTATTATTATCATTGAACCAAAGAACTTTTATTATTGGATTTATTTATGGTTTTCTCAAGCCCATTACGTTCTTTTATACGCGAAGGTGAAAGATAAATTTAATTTGACATTATGAATAAATGCTGCCAGGTCTTTTAGTGGCTTTGGCACTGCTGGTGATACCACTGCCCGAAAAAAGGAAATTGCTGCTTTCTTTGCCCAAACCTCCCATGAAACTACTGGTACGTCGATTCGAATTTGATGGATTCAACTTTTCAATTGAGATCTAATATAATTGATTATGTACCTATTGATATATAGGAGGATGGGCTTTAGCACCAGATGGACCATACGCATGGGGTTACTGCTTCATTAGAGAACAAAATGACCAGAGCGATCACTGTACACCAAGTAGTCAATGGCCTTGTGCTCCTGGAAGGAAATATTTCGGACGAGGCTCCATCCAAATTTCATAGTAAGTTACCATAATTTTAGCAGAGTCATGGCTAAGAATTTAATAGTAACCAATTTTGGCTAAATAAGTAAGGGGAATTATTTGTTATGAATTTTGTTGGGTCTAATTACGTGAATTTTAACATTAATTAACACAGCAACTACAACTATGGGCCATGTGGAAGAGCCCTCGAAGTGGACCTTTTAAACAATCCTGATTTAGTAGCCACAGATTCAATTATCTCATTCAAATCAGCTATCTGGTTCTGGATACCCCTCAATCACCAAAGCCTTCTTGCCACGATGTCATCACTGGAAGATGGCAACCATCTGACGCTGACAGAGCAGCCAATCGCCTCCCTGGATTCGGTGTCATCACAAACATCATCAATGGTGGCATAGAATGTGGTCATGGCAATGACACCAGGGTCCAGGATCGAATTGGGTTCTTCAGAAGGTATTGCGGAATTCTTGGAGTTAGTCTTGGTGACAATCTTGATTGTGGCAACCAGAGTCCTTTTGGAAATGGACTCTTAGTCGATTCTATGTAACAACTTTATCATCTGTTTGTTGTAGTCTCTTGCGGACCCAACTATGAATAAATTTACTTATGTAATTGTGTTGTAATCGTTTTTCATTTTAATAAACAAAGACTTTGTCCACGATAGTGGATAGTTCTACTTCTACAGCTGTGACTTGTGACAGGTAGCTGGTTCAATTCGAAACCAGATAAATATTGACTAGTCAATCGAGCCATCTCATTATTTAGAAAAGGATTTAAGTTATTATGGGTTCACCTACCCACTCGGCTTTTAATTACAAATAATCAAGATTTGCTATCATTGATGAAGTTCATCACATACAAATCGGGCAAGTTGGTTGAATACCAAAACAAACATGCCCAAGGCCCGACTAATCCAAATTCGTCTTGAAAGAAAAATGCATTATGACATGTTTTGTCTTTAACAAACCTCCTACAGCTTGTAATTGCACGTATTACTCGTTAATCTCAGTCATTTGATGAGACAACTTCTCTTCTAAGTTTTATGAGATTTAAGTGAATGAAAACCTTCCTAGATGATACATATTTTTAAAAATTAGTTGAAAGAAAGAAGAACTTTGAACCTCAAAAATTAGGCATCCAAGGTACAGCCACCGTCTCTGATTTTGAGTCTTGAATTTTTGGTACCAAACTGTATCATCATACTGGGGATTAAAGCTATCAACTGCATAAGATATACATGGAAAATCACTGTTAAGGTGGTGCAATTGCATCATCATATACTAAAGTACATCTTGTGAATCATAAGAAAACACGGAATTTGGGTATTATTTGAGTCATACTAGACATCCTAAGAAACTATTTCAGCAATGTGAAATATAGTTAATTAATATGCATTTTGGCATTGATAGAAATAAGGTAACTCTTTATTTGTCTACCTATAAAAAATCTTTAGTATAGTGCTTACCCAAGCAAGGCCGACGCAGAACAAGTTGAATCCAGGATAATTGAATGGAGCCTTCTCAGATAAAAATAGATCTGCATACAAGGAAATAAAATATATTTAATTTGACATTCAGATCCTACAAAGCCAGTGTGCTATTGCCGACACATCCAGGATTTTCACTAAGAGGGTTCGAAAAATAAAAAAAATGTAGTATTTGAGATTTGAATTTGGAACCTCAAAGTAAATTTTGAATCCCGTCAACCGCTAAGCCAACATCTAATCTTATGTTCAAGATGTTTAAAATCTATATATGTACAAAATGTTTTCTTAAAATACCTTACATATACCGTGTAATTATTTTTGCTAAGCCACACAACTTTGACCATGAAAAATATTTGAAGGTTCAACTTACCTGTTAGAGGAGTATATATTAATGGAGAAAGAATATTGCCAAATGAGCTTATGCCTGCAATGCACCCTTGAGCAATTCCCTATCACATTAACAGAGAATTAATGTAATAGAAAATACTGATCCAAGACATAGTAAATCAAAATTAAGGTAGAAACCAGCAACATCTAAATTGTTCACCTGCTCATTTGGTCCAACTTGTTTTGAAACAATGCTTTGTAACTACATTGTATAAACACTATCAGATCAAATAATCAACAGAACTAAAAAAAAAGTGTTTAATCTTCCTAGAAGTATATAACAAAGAAAACTCACAGCAGGTCTTGTAAGGAAGGCAATGATAGGCAACAAATTAGCAACATAAGGAACCTGAGACGACGAACATGAAATGTATTTGGGAAATAAAAACATCAAATATCTTGAAATTTGAAATATACTATTGAAAAAACAGACAATGTGTTTAGCTGTTTGAAAGATTAAACTTACCCATACTGCCCATGCAATGCTAACAATTAGCATCTGTAGAATAATAAGAACTTTCTCAATAAGTTATTATAAGTGCATACAGAAAATAGAAAAATAGAGAAGTTTGAAGAAGCACATACACTTATAAATCCAGCGATGCAGGATACGGAGAGAATTGCCTCCTCTCCTGTAATAGGAGCCAACCGAGGCATCAAGAATAACTGCACCAAAATTTAACAAGAGGTATCACTTGGAACAGTACTAAACGATAACAACATACCCAGTGCAGATAGAGAGGTTGTTTCCAATTGACCCAAATGTATTCGAAGCCATGTTTGACAACCAGAGTAAAAACAGACTACATAATAATTATGAGCTGAGATCTAATCTGAGATATAACAGACTGAGAATGTGCCCACTTAATCCAGCTATACTCTGTAAAGAGAAGTTAGACTTGAAAACAAACCTGGCCAATTGCTGCTCCAGTGTAACCAATAAGCATTAACACAGCAAAGTTATCTTTGTTGTATTGAAGTCGAGCTTTTAAGAAGTACTGCAAAATATATAGTGAAACAATAAAATTTTAGAAGCTATGAGATAATCATGACTTATACTTGCAATTGACATTTGAAGGGAGCTATAGAATTGTGTACCAAATATGGAGTTTGTTGTCCACCTTCTCCTAGACCATTCAAGAAAGCAATCACTGTTGCTAGCGAAAGCGTCACGCTGCACCAAAAAAAGAAAAAAAAAGGACGATATGATTGGAACTTGTACTTTAGTATGTTCTAATTTAAAGACATAGTTTGAATTTTGAAAGTCAAACAGTTTAATTTTGATCGTGAACTTGATGTTTTGGAGCTTCAACCCAACACTATTTTAGTGTGTGAACAGTGTCACACCAAACCAACACCATTTTAGTGTTTAAATAGTTTTGGTGTGGTACTATTCATCAACACTAAATCATTTTTTTAACGGAAAAGGGTCAAAATTGCCCCTGAACTATGCGAAATAAATTACTTATACCCTTCATTACATTTTGGGATAAAAAATGCCCCCACCGTTATTCCAAGAGACCACAAATATCCTCAAGAGTTAGCACCCCAAATTTTTAGTGACGAGGCAATCCAAGTAGGACTAATCCCGGTTGACCATATCATTCTGATATGGTTTGGAATCACATCTGATATGGTCAACAATCCCTCCACCTAAGCGTTGCCAACTAGGATTCACTACAAAAGAACTAGACCTTTAGCAGCGACACAAGTCGCCACAAAAGCCTAGAATATCGTCACTAAAGGTTTTAACTGATTTTTAAATTTTAACATTAAATTCTAATTTTGTGTTTTTTTCTTCATTGTTTTTAAAAAATCACAAATGATATCGATCAAGGAGGAGTTTGAAGACACTATATGTTTTATTTTTATGTCATATGTAAATGAATAAAATGTACAATGATGCATTATATAGTCGGCGATTTGAATCGAGAAGTAATTTTGATGATTTTCGTAATAATATTGGGTGTTTTTAATATTGATAGTGCATGATATTTATTTTAGAAAATTAGGTTGCTACTGAAAATTAATTATCATATTATTTTGTTGAAAAAATATGTTATACTAGGGAATGGTTGTTGCAGCCTTAGCTGTCACTAAAAATCACTCATAACTTTTAGTGGCAATATTTTGGGATTTTGTGGCGACTTGTATCGCCGCTAAAGGTTTAGTTCTTTTGTAGTGAATCAAGTTGGCAATGCTTAGGTGAAGGGATTAGTCACATGTGACTTGCCACGTCACTAAAAATTTGGGTAGTTAACTCTTGAGGGTATTTTATGGTCTCTTGGGATAATGGCGGGGGTATTTTTTATCCCAAAATATAATAGAGGGTATAAGTGGTCTATTTCACATAGTTCAGGGGTATTTTAATATGTTATTATTATTTTCGCTATATAAATTTTTAATATGTTATTATTTTCACTATTTAAATTTTTAATTTAACATTTTATAAACTTTCTAAAGCCAATCGATTATCGGATTTCACCAAGCCAACTACCACTACCTGGGGATTTCTAGATCCGCTCTAAGTATAGCATTAAGATTCCAAACTCCATGAAAGCAGGAGATTGATTAGCTATAGTCAAATCTCGTGACGGTGATGAAAGAGCATTGGCTACGATACTACAACCTCTGCTCCTGACCCCCAGATCGAAACGTTACGATTAACTCTGGTGCTGCTTGCTGGTGGAGGTTGGGAGTATCTCAACTATGAATAAGAAGTCGAAGAAGCCCTAGATCCGCCTCTTACTTACCTACCTTCCCAGACTAGCTAGTCAGGGCGAAGCATTCTTAGCATTAGTAGTTTTAGCACGATAGACTCATGAGATGTGACCTCATGATGGTTTAATTGCATGTTTTAAAATGCATAAGTACCCCCCTAGACTATGACCGAAATCCCAGAGACACACCTAAACTTAACTAGGGTCCTATTACCCCCCTAAACTAATTTAAAATGGAATAAATACACCACAAAAGCTGACATGGCATAGAGAGTGTGCACACTCTCTTGAAGGCAAGTGATGAATGCACAAATTGGACACATGTCATTTTTTTATTGGAAACTTTATAATTAGTTAGTACACATATTTATTGACAATAAAACTTATATATATTTAATTATTTTTATTTCTTTCTTTGTAAAATATTTCTTTTCAGTTTAAACTTTTTTTCTAATTAATTTATTATTTTTTCACTTTTAATTATTTTAAAAATATTATGTGTATTTTTAAAAAAATAATAATTTAAAAGTGTCCTTTAATTTTAATGTTTTAATTTTTTTATGTTTATTTGATTTTCTTCACTTTTTTTTATATCCGTTCAAAATTAACTTATTTTAAATATAAGATATTTGAAATCAAATCAAAACAAAAGACAAAGAAAATAAAATCAATAGAAAAATAAAAGAGAAAAAACAATGAATGTAGGTTAAAAAAAAAGTTCCGATACAACGTAAAAAAAATGTGTATTAATGAATTTAAATACAAGATTAAAAAATTAAGATTATTTTTTAAAAAAAATTGAAAAATTTATTTATTTTTAAAAAAAATTAAGAAAAAAATATTATTTTTTAATTTATTTATTTTAATTAAAAAATAACATTTACACACGTGGCGGGCGAGTGTGTACAAACACAACCAACTTGGGTGGCTGAAAGTGCCACATCAGCACAAAAGGTGCACAAAAATACAAAAAAATGAGTTCAGGGGGGTAATCGGACCCTAGTTAAGTTTAGGTGTGTCTCTGGGATTTCGGTCATAGTCTACGGGGGTACTTATGCATTATCCCTTAAATTCTTGATATACTTAATTATTTTTTGTGTAATATTTTTATAATACATTTTAAATATAAAATTCTAGTTAACTTTACTATAAATTATAAGTGTATAAAATACAATTATAACCTACACAAAAATAAAAAAAAATACAAATATAAGGACAAATATGCTCTTTTTTTTTAACTTCGTAATGTATTAATAGAGTATTTTTGGAAGCAACATACTAATCTTGAACGTTGAATATTTATATAGAAATTAAAACAAACGTTACAATTATGTAATATTTATTTAATTGTATTTCTTTGATTTCACTTTTATTTATATTATTCATTATTATGTATAATATTTGCTAGCAATTTATATTATTCAAAAAGTTGTGGTTTAAAATAATTTTATGATTACATTGGAAAAGAATATGAATTATAAGGTGAATATGTGGAAAAAAAAAGAATTTGTTCTATGAAATAAGATAATATAAATGAAAATAATAATAATAATATAATATTAAAAAAAGAATAATGTAAAGAGAATATTCTTTTTAGTATAAAATTTGGTGTAGTGAATTGGAGTTGGTTTACACTTTACATTAAAATAATATTAACTATATTTTAGCTAAAATTTGATGTTATGGATGGGATACTTTTTCATATAATTTCAACGGACATACTGGTCCCATAAGAAAATGGAAAATAGTAATCAATCGTTAGCAATAATTATTGTCAATCAACAATCTTTTATGAGAAATTGAAATCTTACCTACTCTTCAGCAAGCAGAAAATATCCTTGAGTGGTAACACTTCCTTAAAGCTCTGTGACACACTTTTTGATTGAGAACATTCTTCACCATTATCGACCAATATAGGTTGATTTAGAGGTTCACTGTCAATACGGCCGCTCGTCTCCTTTACAAATATTCTCATGTAAATTGTTGCAACCATTGAAGAAATGGCAGCTATCTTCATTACACAATGAAAACAACGAACACAACTAAGCAAAATGAATTGTAACAAGTAAAAATGAAAATGATTGCGAGGAAGTAAAAAAAATTAGAGAGAAAAAGGGAACCAGAAAGATCTGTGCAGTGGAGAGGAAACGAGCAGCCATGGTACCCAAGAGAGATGCAGCAGAGCCTATGCCGGCAACAAATCCAATTGCAGAAACACGTTTTTCTTCTGATATGTTAGCTGCCTAGAAAAGTATGCATTAGAAAAACAAAAAGGAAAAATTGTATTATGAATTTGAATTAGGCTCAATAGTTACCGCATAAGCAATGGAGAGGCACTCAATTCCACTGTCACTGACCATACCAGTGAAGGTTTTTACAGCATAATACACGTAGAAATAGTTTGTTGATCTGCCGATAGCCAATATTACTGCAAAACTTTTTTGTTACTTACGGTCCGAATTGGGCGTTCTTCGATTGAGTGACCGGAAATCAATTTTTACCTGACGGAATAATGGAGGCAGCTACCGGAACTGTAAGCAAAGCTTTTCTTCCGTATATATCAGATAGATGTCCAAGCAATGGCAACATCATCATTGATCCCAGCCCTAAGATCTGAAATTAGCAGACGCAAACTGGAAATCAGATAATGCATATCTACTGTTTGTCAAAATGATTCACAAGTTAGATCTGGATTACACACAGCTTGCTGGAAACCAGAGAGATAAATGGCAAGTGAGCATTCGTCTTGAGAAGGGCAGAGTGCGCCAACTGTGATATCAGTTATGGCAGGAGGAATCACATTCAACGCAAAATTTGCAAGAAATACAGTAACAAATAGGTGCTTCAAGTCGCTCAATTTATCCATCTTCATTGTTCCTGCTTTCCTTTGAAAAACCAAATACAATGGTTTCAAAATCAATCAGTATTTTGAATTTACACTGCGCAATGATTTCCAAAGAAAGCAGACCATAGTTCCTGTTTCAAAATCAGTCGAATTTCAAATCAGGATGGCCGCAGCCCCGCAGGGAGGAAGGGTGAGTGTGCTTACTAGTTCAGCTGAACTAAATAATTTTGAGTGAAACTCTATATTTGTCTTAAAAGAATCTATAAAACTTAAGGGATTATTGTTATAGAATTTAGTAATTTATAAAATTAAAATATAAAACGCATAAACTTTAAATTTTGATTCCGCTCTAATCACAGCACTCATGTGATAAAAATGTTTAAGTGCCAGTGTGCCACTAGAGTCAGCGCATGCATACAAAACGTCTAAATTATTTTATATTATTTCTGAATTTTAATTAAACATGATTTTGAAAATAGAAAATTATGTCCTGAAAAGAGGTTTTTTTGGCTTGTACTGGTAACCAGCGGCACAAGGGCAATCTATATTCCTCATATGTGTATTGTTAATTATATTTTAATTTTTATCATTTCTCAAAATAAATATAAATATATATACATAATTTTTTTCAAAATTAACGTGTGCACATGCAACCCTATATATATGATCCGCCTCTACCTGTAAAAAGTTTCTTCGTTTTTAGACTCAAATCTAAAATTTCTAATTAAATCATTCCATCTTTGTTTGTTTTAATAATTGTTTTCTTGCTACAAATATTCTCATACTTGTATATAGTAAGTAGACAATTTTTTATTGCATTTTTTTTAGTGTATTTCTGGTGCTAGTGTATCATGCACTCGTAGGGGAGCCCACGTTGTCCCAAGGAAAATTTTGGTTCACCCATCCACTTGGCTCAAGATATTGTTATATAACTACAAAAATTTAAGAAGAATGTGTGTAATTAATAGTCTTGATATTGTTTTCTTAATTAAGGAATGAACCCCGCTTGTAACGAGGTTAAACTAAAAAGACTCTTTTGGAGAAATTGTTTTGTTTTATTGTCCTTTTCTTTAAACGGAATAATATTGCTCTGATGCCACATTGTCACTATAGTCGCACTAAGGGTGTATTTGGTTAGACGAATTAATTATAGAGTATTTTGAAAAATCAAAATTATCAAATTGAAGTTCAATATCGTATCATACCATACCATGATTACCCTAGTTTATCTAACCATTGAAAATTATTAAAATTAGTATCAGAAGGTTGTATATCAAATTTGAAGTTTATTTGGACAAAGTTTGAAGCAAAGCAAGTGTTGGAGATATTTCTATAAACATGTTAAAGTGACTCGTCAGGATTTTTTGGTCAATTCTAAGTTAGAACTCGTAGTCATAATTCAGGCGATCCGTCAAGAGACCACAAATTCTGGTGATCCATCTAGAGACCACAAAGTCTGTTGTCATTGATAAATACAAGGGTGGAGCTATATCATGTATAGTTCAACTGAACTCAGTAGCATTTGTTTAATTATTATATTTATGTTACGAAATTTATTAGATATGTATAAATATTAAGTTTATAAACCAAGTTAATTAATACTTGAAGTAGCTATTCTAAAATTCAAAACTTATAAAATTGAAATTATGGCTCCGCCTCTATTAAAATAGGTACACTTTTTCTTCTTCCCATTTCTTTGCAATAACACTTGGGCAAAATTACTAATTTATGCCAATTAAATAAGAGTTTACCATTTGAAAATTTACATTAATGCTCCATGTTTCTGTTACAAATCCAGACTAATGTCCAACATTAGTCAATGCACATAATTTATCAGCCAAGACATCAAACCACTAAAAGGAAAACACTAAGGCAGTTGCTATATATTACTTATGGATCCATTAAGGATACTATGAACAAACACCCCAAGTGGTCAGCAGGTTAGGTTGTAGCTGTGAACATATCACTACTATTATTCTTGAAAAAAAAATCCAAGGAAATTGGGATGGATGGTTTAACGATTCGAATTTATAGCCTAAAAGTTATGCACAAACGCGGAAGGTGTCAAGATAAAATTATCAAGCCAAGGGCTACGCAATTGCATCCAGACAGGGTCCTGACTAAAGTCCATGCTGAATTTGGGTACTTGTAGTTCAGCCAGGTTATCTTGTCCATTCAGTAATTTTGGCCTAAAGCAATTACTCTTCTCTTTGGTTTCTGCTGAAACTTCGAACGGGTTGTTCTCAGTAATTGATAAGATATCGTCTTCTACTTCATCCTTGTTGATTGACATAAAGAAATTGGGGCTCTGATCAGTTGGTTCATGATGTTCGTTACTAAATGACATGGCGTCCATTGGCTGCAGGGTTGTCGAACAAGGAGAGCTGTGAACGTGCTTTGTACCGTTCATTTCTTCTTCAATTGCAGCCCTCTGTTCTAACACCTTCAAAGATGTCGCTTTTCTGTATATTTTGCACAACACTATGTCCTGCATTTTACAATTTTGAATTCAGTATCTTCGATAGGGTAACTTGGACAATTTATGAGTGGAATAGTTGTTAACTCTATATTCCATCTTATGCTATCGATGATAGAATCAGGATTTTCACTAAAAGATTCAAAATATAAAGAAGTAAACATACGAAGAAGCCAAGGAGGTTCATATCAACTATATTACATTAAAAAAATAATAGTACTACTAATGTTTTGACGAGGGGTTCATATGAACTCCTTCCGGTACCCTAGCTCCACCCTTGTATACGATGTTCCTTTCTTTAGTCGGATCAAAACAGAATAACATCTTTTTATATATCTAAAAACTCTTTACTTCAAACTTTTCACTTTATTATCAATAACATGTTTTTATAAACCATACTAATGTTATGTAATGTTCAAAATTACAAGTTTCAAGAGAAAAATTAACCAAAGGAGGATATAAAATTTGAAAATTTTGGGTTCGAACTAAAAAATTCTACCATATCCCATCCAATTAACTAAGTTCAAAATCTACCGTTTGTACTTATTTAGTGATTTTTAAACACATATATTATCTAACTCTATTCCCAAAGCTACTGAGTTCAAATTGATACATGTCAAAGATTATCTTTTAACAAGAGTATCATATAAAATGAAACGAACAGAGTATACTGAAGTATGAAATACCTGAGGCGAAGAGACGGTATCCGGTAGTCGAAATTCATTCATGACCCAATCTGTCTTAGAGCCTCGAGGTGCTCTTCCAGTATAGAAAACCAAAGTTTTCTTAAGACCAATTATATTTTTAGGATTTGATAAACCAATAATTTTTTTATCAGAACCAGTTGCCTTCCAAAATCCCTTTTGTGTAGTCCTATTAGGCCTCCCTCCACTTCCATGTTTTCTATCTCTTGGCACAAAAAAATACCATTCTCTTTCTCCAATTGTTGCCAGCTCTGCTCAATTCACATAAAACAGAGTTATATTACATTCACTACAACGAAAAATTAGACGTACCACGATATTATATATAAATGTTATCGAAATATACCTGGCAGGTCCCAAGGATCATGACGATAAATGTTGAGTAGACCAATTACATCGCATCGCGATTTTTTGCCAAGGACTTTATTTTTTAGGTAAAATTCGAGAAGTTCTTCTTCCGTTGGGTGAAATCGGAAGCCTGGTAGATCTTCCATTATTCGAATGTATCGATCACCTTTCGTTATAAAATATTTTGTTTATGTCAAAGTTTGGTGATGAGTATAGTAAAGTATATTGATAACATATAACACGAAGGGATATATTTATAACATAAAGAATGGTACTAAATTTTGTTATTAAAAAGACTTATGAGTAAAAGTTTACAAGTCTTCGAGTCTTTTCCCTTGACTTAGAATGACGCGTTTATGGGTAGTGCTGTCATGCCTGTGGGGCATATTCACAACACTGACATATTTTGGTTTAATTATCATAAGATACCACATCACTTGTGGTGCACAAATGAGAGTGTTTCATCCTTAATCAGATATTTCGGGTTCAAACCTCATATATGAAGAAAACCTGTTGTTGTGTTTCTACCACGGGTCGTTGGGTGTACAAATTATCTCGTATTTACACAAGGTACGAACAAGAATTATACTTTGTGAGTATGATTATTGTATTGTGAGTATAAATATTATATTATATAGACTGTTTATTCTAATACAAATATCAGTGATTATTTCTACGATTTGAATCTATGACCTATAAATTACATAAAAATAATTTTATCGTTACTCTGTGGCGCTGTTAATTTATGTATGAAAATAAGAATCTTTGATCCTTCATTAGCAACCGTCAAGGTCAAGATTTTCAATCAGCTGTGACCCTATACTTCTTTAGGTTGAATCGGTCATACTACTAACTTGGGGACAAATTAAATCAAAATATCACATCAAATTGAAAAATCAAATTAATATGCATCGCTTTGAATTAATTTTGTACTAAGTAAGAAAAAATCGAATCAAATCAAATTAAATCCACAAATAAATATATAGTAATTTTTTAGAACTTTACATAGAATTTTCGTTAAAAACATATGTGGCGAATTATTTGTGATTCTCTCATTGGATGTTCAATAGAACTATATATTGCTTCCATTTTTATATACTTTAAATAATCCTCTACCAAGTGTTATTGAAACGTGTCAAATTTATTGAATCATAATTAATTTATATTTATTTTAATAGGTTTAAAGAATGATTATAAAAAAATTAAAGTAAGGGAGATAGGTATAGTATCCTAAACTATAGGAGAGGTGAGTGTTATAGAGTGAAACCTAAAGGGAGGTCTCCGAAATTATCCCATTAAAACTTATTTTCTTCAAATTTGAGATGTTGTATTACCGGTAATTTTTAAATTAAACAATGTAATTGTTTTTAGATTTTATATTGATTTTTGAGGTGAATTATTAAGAGCTGGTTAAGTTTGAACGAGCTAGTACATCACTGGAAAATTATTGTTAGACTAACAAAATAACTATGTGTGTTTAATAGTACATATATTTGTCAATTTCTAGTAAACATATATTGATTTATTAAAACCTTTTAAAAACTCCAAGAAAATAATATTGAAATCATATTCATGTGATGAAAAAATCAGAAAAACTGAACTGATCAAGTGAATATAAATTGATCCGGTCATTTGATTTTGATTTTTAAAAATCGAACCAAATCGTCCATGTACATCTCTACTACTAACTTGCCATTATATCTATTGTTGCGTTTTATTTTATTTTGTATCTCCTATAACTAACATAATTTTTATAAAG